CGGATCGGATATATTTATTGGAAAAGTCTGGCCCTGTGTCCCATTCTTCACCAGCCACAGTGTAGTCAGTACATTGAATAAGTTAGTGCCAAGTATGTAGAAACAAAAAGGCTTAATTGGTAAAAGATTTAATTAAAACAGAACCAAGATTTAATTAAAAGAAACCCAAGATGTGACACGTAAGAACGTGCCCAAAAGCACCCTCAGTCTGCGGACTCGATAGTCTCATTGCAAAATGATCAGCAAAGAAAAAGAGAGGAAAAACGAGCGCGTTGCCATTGGAGCAAACTCCTTGTCTAGGGACCTCCCGGAGCCCAGAAACGGTCCCCAACAACACCCGAAACTTGTGGAAATGCCACAAAACTGCAGAGCTCTCCTGCCTGATCCCCCCCTTGCCGCTGCCCTGCGGAGCGGCCCGGATTCCGGCTCGGCCCCGGAGCAGGGACAGGGATCCCAACTGTTTTGTCATAGGGACAAACGTGCAGGGATGGCAGCAGGTCCGGAGCGGGCGAGATGCCAGCGGAGATGCCAGCGGAGGCCGCGTAGGAACAGGAATTATAGCCAAAAAACCCCTAATATCTGGTAAACAACTGGCAGGTTTTAGGGGGAGGAATGCGGGTTGCTCCGTGTCTCCTCATCGCGCTTTCCCTGCTCACCTGCGTGCTCCTTGTCCGCAAAATCCCGAGGAATTGGCTGGGAAAAGGCTGCTCCTGCTCAGCTGGCCGAGCTTGGGATTTGCCCAGAGTAGGAAAAATAATTAATCCGTGGCGCATCAGCACCAGACCTATCATCAGGCAGCAGAAGCTTGAATCTAAATCAGTAAAATATCGACGAATCCCTTTCCTGATCAGATGAAATTATGTTTTTAAACTGTGAAAACTTTTAAAGTACCTAAAAAGCAAGACACCGACCCAATGTCGGTGGCGTTAGGAGGTGGTTTGGACCCGGATCTTCGCTCGTGTTGGTATCTCTGAAACGCGCAGGCTCTGCGGGGCCTGTTTAATGCTCCTGTTCGGTCTTCTCTTGCGATCCTGCCTGGAAGAAATCCTGGCTTCTACTTACAAGCCGCAGCCGTGGCCGGTTCCGTGCTGGCCGCGGGCGATGGGAATGGTTTTCCGCAGCACGAATGGGTTTCCCGTTAAAAACCGGTCTGTTCTACGGCTGCGGCCGGTGTCATCTCGTCACGAGCGAGTCCGTGTCGACGTTTTTGAGGAGGAAGAGCTCGGGGTGAGCGGCGAGGCCCAGGTGACACTGCAAGAGACAGAGAAAGAGTCAGAAAATGTGGCCTGAGATGGGGACGGGGACAGCGGCCGCTCCTCGGTGCCGTCCCGTTAACCTGCACATTCCCACGTGCCCAAATCCAAGTTTGGGAATTCCTCCTTTATTTTTTCCGCTCAGGACCCTTCACTATTCAAACCAAAGCAGTTTTGACCCTTTTTACCAGTTGAAAAAGCAACAGAGCTCTTAGGGATTTGATGGGTAATGGGGCCGGGTACCTGCGAGCGCTTAATGAAGCTGCAGGAGCAGGGCTGGAATCGGAGGCCGCGCGCAGCCGACGAGCAGGAAAAATAATTAGTAAATAAAAATTAATAATATAATAAATATAACAATATAATAAATATAATATGTTAATGATTAATATTAATTAATAAAAATAAATGGCCCATGCTCCGTGAGGCCGCAGGGCTGCCGCTCCGGCACAGGATGGCACCGGTCATTGGCTAAATAAAGTTTAAAGCCAAAGAAACAGCTTGATGCAGCACAAATACCTATTTATTAGCAAGCAGCTCCACTTCGAGAGCACGGGGATGCTCCAGAATAGCTCTTTTCTGCTGCGGAACATTCCCCTCAGTCTCTTTAAATCAACTTTCTTCTTCATGCAAATTAAATTTGGCTGTAGACAGGCTTAATTAGCACTAACTGATTAGAATTTGGTTAAATGGAATGAAATTACGTTGTTTCACAGCAGTGGGATTCCGGGGGGGCCCTCGCCTCTGTCCGGAGGTAAAATTGAGCAGACAGTTCCCAGCCCTCCACAGGATTCCCAAATCCCAAATCCCGCACAGGGAATGGGGCTCAGTCCCCACACTGGCCATGACAACAACCCGCGAGGCTCCTCCATTCAGCAGACTTCATTTTCGTGCTTAATCAATTCAAAATTGGTTAAAAAAGAGATTTTGGCTGCTGCAAATCGAAGGCAGGTGCTGCAGTTTGCGAGAGGGCGACTTACCCCGAGCGTTTCTTACCAGATAGAGACAAAACTAAACGTCATTCGTTTGCTCAGAGAATTGCGGCAGACTTACAATTTAATTCCTTCTCTTCCAAAAAAAAAGAGAATAAAATTCCCCAAGAGACACAAGCAAATTCCCAAACCTGGCTGGAGAGTTTGCAGGGGGAAAGGACCCAATTCCAGCCGCCAAAGCCAGAGCTGATGTTGGTCGGAGGGAGGAGAGAAGCAGGAAAGTGGGACAGGGAATTCTGCCTGTGTCCGAGTTTTCCCTTCCTGCCCAAGGAGATTTTTGGACCCTCAGGGCAGTGAGATTGTCCCTTTGACCTGCTGTAGAAACCAGGAATCTCCCCCAGTTAATCCGGCCTCTTTCTACTCCAAACACAGACATCTTTTATCCACCAGATTCACTAAAAAAAGTCAGATTTTGGGGGGCAAGTTGAGAGTTTGACCAAGGAGCAGACAGGAGGCAAAAAAAAAAAAGAAATGTTGTGGCTTCTGCCCCAAATCACCCCAAAACCCACGGAAATCCTCCCAAACAGGCACCAAGCAGCTAAAGGGGCCTGATCCTTCGTTTTTCTTGGATCTCAATGTTGGTAGTGGAGGAAAATGCCTTGAATGGATAAAGCAAGAGCAAAACGGGAGGGTTTAAATGCTGGGAGACACGGAGGGAACTGCCCTGCACCACTCGCCCCGCCACGGAGGGCAAAAAAGACAAAAAAAAGACCCAAGAAACCAAGTTGAAAAAGTATCTGGCTTTTAATTGAAAACGTAGGTCGTACAAACCAGTTCACTGGCAGATACGGGGTGGGGGAAAAAATTAGTTGCACAAATAGCCAAGAAGAGAGGAGAACTCGATCCAGGAGCGCCCGCACAGAGCCGCGACCTGCAGGGTCTCCTTTCCAGAGAACAGCCAAGAAAATCTCCTCCGACACGTTACAAATCCCGAAATTCGGAAGCCACAACCGGAGGCGGTCGCTCCGGCGGCGGCGTTCCGGAAGCGGTGGCCACGGCGGGCAGCTCCGTGTGTTACCGTCACGCTGGTCACAACGCGCCTCTCCGCGGCATTTTCCAGTTACAGGAAACAAAGCGACACCCTAAACTCTTGGTTTGTACCATGGGACAGCGGGATTAGGCGAGAAACCTAGGCAGGAGCTAATTCCCACTGGAATTTTTGAGCTAATAACCTGGAATATGTTGTGTTTTACTGCTTGCTGAATTTGAGGGGGAAGCAAGCGAATTTCTGCCGCCGGGAGGGCAAGGCGGAGTGGAATCAGTGCTGGGCTTAACTGAGATGAAGTTTTAATACCGTGCTTAGCAGCTTGGGTTTTGTCATGGTGTCATTTGCTTCTACGAAATGTGTCAGCAGCGGCTTCAGATTCGTTACCGAGTTCCTAAAACCCCTTCCCGGAGCGTGTCCGAGGCTCCGTGCTCATGGATAATCCACCAGGAAGCAACGGCAGGAGTCTCTGAACGTGCCCGTTGCCTCCTGCTCGTGGGAGGGATCGCGGGCAGAAAGAGCCCCCAAACGCTACCTGCTCTGCAAACCACGGCCTGCCGAGGCTCCGAGCGCCGCCGGGACCTCCCTCTCCAAGGAAAACATGACATTTCCCAGGAAATTTGCCTCGTTTCCTGAGGAAAAGCTCCAACCAAGGGCTAAAGCAGCCCCTGGCTGGGGACCCTGTCAAGCAGCTACAGCTCCGAGGGAGCAGCTGAGATTCCGCAGCAATAAAACCCTGGATTATCCTTTCTGACACATGATTTTCACAGTCAAATCAACACATGTACAAGACACTTAAAAACACCCTGTCATGCAGGTTGTAAACGATTAATTCACAGAAAATCGGGAGAAAAAGAGGACAATCCTTTCTGATCGCAGAAAGTACAGTTCTTCATAACATAATTCTTTGCCACATCAGATTTAGGTTGCCTTCCAGACTTAGATTTTTCTCCCAAAAGATAAGTGAACCACAATAAATGCTGAGGGAGATGGGCAATGAGAAATTAAGCCCAACAGGATTTGAAAATAAAAAACTGAGCTTGTGTTATAGCTTATGACCACACTATTGGCATATTCTGCAGTATGAAGCTAGGAGCAATGTAGTGAGAGCTTCTGAAAACTACAGTGTTTCTGTTGATCACACACATATGAAATAAACTCACAAGGTCATAAATAACCAGTAAACACAAAAACGCTTTTCCTTTGCTGACCACCAAAATCACGTGCCAGGCAAGAAAGAAAAAGGACAAAATGACAGTGCTAGTGTGGAGGGTTCCTGCCCTCGTGCCGTGGGATGCTTCTCCGGCATCACATTCCACATTCGTGGAAGCAGCTTGCACATCACGTCCAGCCTCACTTTTAAGGAAACGGCGACTTTTCCTCCAGGTATTTTCAAGTGAAAAGCAAATCCAGCCAGATCAGGAATAACGGCCGCAATCTGACTGCAGAGGTAGGCTCTCAATGTAGTGTCAGTGCTTTGCGCTTTGCACTTTGCCTAACGACGGCTGCAGGAACATCCATCCCTCAGACATCACCAGAAGGGCAGGATTTTCTAGTTCCTGGCTTATTGTTTCATGGATTGTGCAGTTCTGGTAGGTACCTGGAGCTTCAGTGTTTCTGCTACATGGGTTAAAGTGCTACGGGATGAAAATCTGCTGTTTCTGATGCAAAATGAAAAAGAAGCTGGAGGCAAAGACTAGTCATAAGGAGGAGTCGCTTTGCAGCGTGGGGTGGAGCTACGGAATGTGTTAGTGTCTGGGATCACGCTGATTAGAGGCGTTCAGCAAAGAAAAGAGCTGACTTTTTAGTATTTTAGCAGCAAAACGTTCCCCAGTATGTACATCTTGATTGTTTTATACAACGAACACAACGACCCAACTATTCCCTGTGCAAATTGCACATACATTTGTATATGTTCACACAGTAAACCATAGAAACGCACTGGCTCTGATGGCTACTCGCTGCGCACAGACACACGCGGATCTACTTAGTGGGGGACGAAGGTGGCTCCTCCGTGAGCAGCGTCCTGGTGACACTTACCGTTCTGCCACAGGCCAGGAAGGAGACCCCCAGGGCGATCAGACACAGCCAGGTCTGCAAAAGAGGAAGGGGCCGGAGATCACGAACAGCGCAACACGTTACGGAGACCGTCCCAAGCTCAGCACAGAGCAGATTCTCAAGCAAATCTGGCCTTGAAAGCCTCAGTTTCCCCATCTGCTCTGTGGCAGGACACTTTAGTTACTGTAAAATGCGACCATGTTAATATAATGGCAGCTCCTGGGAAAACAAATCCATTGACTTATCCCACCACCGAGGACGCTCTGCTCAATAGTTACTAATGGCCTCCTATTACTATTAGTAATAGTTACTAATGTGGCCTCCCCTGGAGGCCACGGGAGACCCAGACGTACCAAATAGGCCACGAAGGACAGGTAGACGACGCTGAGAATCGCAGCGCTGATGTACAGAGCCAGGTGGTTGAGGGCCATGACGTAGGCCACCACGAAGTACATGTTGATGCAGCAGACCAAAAGGATCACGCCGCCGCCGCCGATCTTCCAGAACCTGCGGGCAAAGCCGGAGCGCGCGGGGTGAGGCGGAGCGGCCTCCGGATTCCCCCTCTCGCATCCGGATGGTCACGAGGCAGGAGGGAAATGGAATGCGTGCCCGGGAAGCAGCAACACGTCTGCTCCCGCCTGCACAAGGCTCCCTTTGTACTCACAATCCATTGGCGAAATCATTCATGACGCTGGGCAGGCTGGTGAATGTCAGGACAGGGATCAAAGCGAAAGGAAGCTGGAATATCAACAAAATATGGAAGAATGAAAAGTGGAAATTGTTCTGATCGTATCAGCCCAGACAAACCACCAAGGCGTGTTTGTATCCGAGAGCGTTTCCCCACTGCTATTGTAAAGGGAGTTCAAGGAACTTCCCTAGCTGGAAGGAGGGAGCAATTTCAAGCCATGGCTGATCCTTTCCACCTCCTGGCAGGGGATCAAAGGGTCCCAACAACAACTTGCTCTGCCCAGCTGCTCCTGCAGCCCCTGGGGTGAAATATCCAGCGCTACACGGCTTTCTGGGAGGCCCAAGTGCTCACCTGGAGGCTCATGAGGACGTTGAGGAAGTCATTCATGCCAGTCAGGTGCTCCACGTCCTGAAAGATGGCAACGAGCAGCGTGGGGGTGATGGCGATGGAGCGGGTCAGCAGCACGCGGGCGAAACGGGACCACCGCAGGTTCAGGAAGCCCTGCGGAAAAACCGGGGGGTGCTGCATGAAAACAGCACCGAGGCTTCAAGTGCAGCAGGGGGAGAGGGGTTGAGGGAAGGATTAAAAGCTGATTTGCTTGAAAAAGGCCTAAAGGAGCTTGCTGGAACCTCCAGTAGGAGCTGAGTGCCCAAGGCAGGGGCTATAACACATAGTATCTTTAAAGGCTTGGGAACAGAGGGGAGCAGATGCAGAGCCACAGGAAGCTGTTACCTCCATGACAAACTGCCCGGAATATGTCCCTGTCATCGTTGAGCTCTGGCCTGCAGCGAGGATCCCGATTGCCCAGATATAGAGAGCGGCGGGGCCGAAGTAACATCCCAGAACAACGCCCTGGAAAAGAGAATTTCCGGCTCACGTCGGTCCAATCCCACATCCGAGAGCTCGGGCACAAGAGCGGGCAGGTTCCCTCATGGCCAGCTCTTCCAACCAGCTTATTCACGGACACGGAGTTGAAAGAGAAGGAATGACCCCTTCGGAGGGAGGGAGGAGCATTCCCCATGTCTGCAGACGATGGGGATCTCACTCTTAGGAAGATCCAGGAGGGAAGCAAGGACAAACTTCATAATGGCCAAGCTAATCACGCAGCGGAATAGGTAGCCAGGGAATCCCTGAGGACACATTAGATGTAGTGAGATTAGCAAAGGGATAATTTGGGCTGGGCAAAGGGATCCCGAAGGATCTCAAGGAGCTCCTGAAGGCTCCTCCAGCTCTATCTCTGCTTTCCCCCTACGAGTCCCGACCTTCAGCAGTCCCTGTTTACCCCAAAGGACAGAGTTGTCACCGTTCAGGATGCAGAGCTGCCCGAGCCGGTCACTCACCCCCTTGTAGATATCCACTTCCAGCGTCCGGTTGTCGCTCGGGAACAGCGAGGAATGGGGGCTGCTGGCGTTGACACACACGGCACTCTGCAACGACACGCAGCGCCGCGAGGCTCGACTCGCTCAGCCCCAGCGAGCAAACCGAGCACTGCAAGCAAAACCAGCAAGTGCTGCAGGCCCCAAGGCACCGGATTCCTCTTCGGGCTGCTTTAAGTGGGAAGAGTCAAGACCCTTTCCCTATTTCCTCCTTTCCAAAGAGGATACATTTTCCCCTTGACGTCTGATGAGTCTCAGATCTGTGCTGGTCAGCTGAGACAGTGCCCCATGATCAAGTGTCAGCCCAAACCCACATCCCAAAGAGCGACGTCGCAGCTCCACGCAGCAACTCACCACGTCCTCATTGGTCTTGTCAAAGAAAGCCTCAGCAAAGACGGACACAACGAAGATGTTAATGATGAAGGAGACGAAGAGAGCTATGCAGGACTCGATGAAGAAATATTTATTGGCTTCTTGCACTTCCCTCTTGTTTGAACGATTCACCTGCCGGGACTGGAAAGGAGAGGGTCACAGTAGCAGGTTTGAGAAATGGGAATTACTGTATTATTTACGGCTGCAAATATTGACAGTGGGACATGGGACACAGAGAAAAACCTCATCTGAAGAACAAGCAATGCCCTGGAGCCTGAAACACAGCTGATTTCATTAGCAGGCCCATGCTAGAAACAAGGAACACGTGTCCCAAGGGACTCACAACTAACCCTGTGCCAGCGACTCAAGTGGCCTTTTCTTCATGTCCCAGTGAAGTAAATGCTTAAAGGAGGCTCCAAAATGCCCATGGCTGGGGCTGCTCGAGCCTTGCAGACACCGTGAGCCCAGTGCAGAACCCAGTGCACATTTTTTGTGTGAATTTAAGCAGCTGCTTACCTTGACGAGCGCGGAGTGCAGGTACATGTTGTGGGGCATGATAACAGCGCCCACGATGCCCACGGCCTGCTCCAGCTGCGCCGTGCCGCAGTTCTGGCAGTACGGGACGAAGAGCCCCTTCAGCAGGCTCCCCTGGTCTGGTTTTACTGTAACATACTGGACACAGAGACAAAATTACCCATTTCAGCCTGACATGCAGCACACAGCAGCTCCGAGCGCCCGTTTGAAGATGCCCAAGAGCCAAAACGTGGCCACTTTGGAAACAACAAGACCACAGTGGGGCACTTGCCCCTTGTTTAATGAAACAGGGGTTGGTTCAGTGCAGAGCAGGCACAGTTGGTGCCCGTGTCCAGCCTCGAGAGGTGACACTCAGCACCAGTGTGTCATTCAGAAAGCCACAAATCATTCAGAAAGCCACAAGTCAGAACCCTGGCCCTCATTTCAGTCACAAGGGGCTGGCTCAGTGGGTTCGTGCTGTCCACAAAATGAAATTGTCCCCAAACAGCTCTGGGGGGAACCAGAGAGATCCAGTGACGGTACCTCGTATCCAAACGTAATAGCCATGATGGTGATCAGGAAGCCAAAGAACGCTTCCAGCTTTCGCAAGCCTGCAAAAAGAAAAACGTCCTCAGCAACCTCCAGGCAAAGCTGCACCTCTGATATTCTTGTCAAAAATGGAAGGAAAAAGGAGAAATTACCATATTTGTCCAGGAAGAGAAACACGAATGTGTCGGCAATGGTGATGAGCACGCCACCCCACAGCGGGATCCTGGGGGGACACCGGAGCAGGCATTAACTTCCAGGACACTTTGACCTCCCCTTCTAGGCACACGAAGGCCCCAATCTCCTCCTAATGAGCGTTTGTTTGGGAATGGGACCGCATTGTTCAAGGGTTTGTTTGCAGTCTGACAAGACGTTTGTCTACATGGGGCAAGGGACCATAGGTTTATTTTCTCTACAAACAGCTCTGATAAGGTTTTTCTCCCTGAAACTAGAAAGCAAGTCACATGCCCACACTGAGAGTGACAGCAGGGACTTTAGTTTAGTAACTGGTGGGGACAAAACTCTACCTTCCCGCTGGGTTTTCCTTTCCAAGCTTCCTGCTCAAAGAGAATATCTTTCTGGCAGCCTTTACTGGGAATATAAGATTTGCCAGGAAGGCTGCAGTCTGATTTTGGTGCATCCTGAAGCATAACCCAGCCACCCACAGTTCCCTCTTAGCAAAATAAAGGCACCAAAGGCCGAGTGATTCAGGACGAATACGGCTTGGCTTAGATGAATCACCCTCCACAAAGTGCTTATTTCATAAATTTATAGGAAATAAATGAACATATTTGGTGCCCACAGTGTCACTTTCTTAATCCTAAAATATACCAGTTTCCTGCTTGCCTCTGACGACAAATCCAACTTACTTCCCCATAGACAAGAGGTTCAGGGCAATTGCTGAGCCAATGACTTCTTGCATGTCGGATCCGATGATAGCGAGCTCGACCATCAGCCACAGGATGATCCGAGGGACCTAGAGGTACAAAAACCCCAAGACCACTAAGAAAGAGGGGAAAACTCCTCTCCCTGTAATCTCCTACAGAAGGATGTGATTGTGGATGATTACACACTGAGGAATGGTCTCTTTTGCCGTTGCGACATCAAATTAGTGGAAAATGGTTGAAAATTGCCATTTTATGGCTGTTCCAGGGCAGAAATACGGGTTACCTGCTAGATTTCCCCCACCTGGGCCACGGATCCCTCCCCACTCCCAGGGCCTTCCAATGCTGCCCGCTCCGTGGGGGAGCACAGGGGCTGTGACCGGTGTCCGGGGAGTCCCCGCGCGGGTGTCACCCACCTTGGGGTACTGCCGGTGACAGACTTCGGCTAAAATCTCTTTCATTTTTATGTACGTATGTATGTATTTATTTATTTATTCTGGTTCACCTTCCCCATTCTCATCTTTCTTAACTTTTCTCTTCTCTGCTGACAGTTGCCTGTTCGGGCCGCCAGCCGCTGCAGCAGCAGCCCGATGAGCGTGGCCAGCAGCAGCACCCACAGCAGCTGAGGGAGACGGGGAGACAGCAGTGGGTGCCCTGGGGACACACGCAGGGTCCCCCAGGGCACACGAGAGTCACGCTCGGTCTTGTCACAGAGCAGCCACGACGGGGCCTTTGGTGCCCTCAAGCACAGGGCAGCACTAGGAGTAGGAGGGCTGCACTTGGGGTGTTTTGTCTGCAAGCTTAGAATCATAGAATCATAGAATGCTTAGGGTTGGAAGGGACCTCTAGGGATCATCCAGTCCAACCCCTGCACACGCAGGGTCACCTAGAGCACGTGGCACAGGGCTGCGTCCAAGCGGGTTT